TAAGAACAAAATAGAACAATTTTAACAATATACCGTAGTAAAAGTTATGTGAATGTCATCTCTCAGAATATCTTATTGTACTGTGCTCACCTTTTCCCTTAAAGGAAGCGCTTTATAGCTCCCCTTTGGCGTACCCAAATTGCCACCGTCACTACTCTTGTGTTTTCGGGTCATTACTCAGTAAAATAAGGGTTACCTGAACACAAGCAGTGGGTTACCCTGACAGTTGATCTGACAGCAGAGACAGCTACAAAGTGACTGATAGGCAGGTAGCACATCCAGTCTGGATTCACTGAACAAAGGGATGATTCACGTCCCAGGAGGAATGGAGTGGGGAAGTGCGAGATTTCATTGCACTGCTCAGAATGGCGCATCATATAAAACTTGCAAAAGGTTTATTTCTGGAATTTTCCATTTAACGTTTTTGAGCTGTGGTTGACCACAGGTAACTGCAACTGTGGAAACTGAAACCATGGAAAGTGGGGGACTACTATATCGTACCCAACGGGAATTCAAATCCCTCCAACTTGAAAGAAAACTCCTATCCTACCAAATGTCCTCAGTGCTAGACTCCAGCTAGCTCTGCCATGTTTCCCACTTTATTTCATCCTGTTAACCTGTGCCCACCATTCTAACAGGTGGCTCTCCATCCAGTCACTGCCGATCTAGTACTTGAATACAAGCCTAACTTCCACTTGCTTGTCACGTTTTTTTTCACATTTCCATTCAGGTAACAAGAATGTTGATTCAGCCAGGACCAAGAGCAGAGTCCATTTATCTGTTAACCAAAGGCTTCTCTGGGTTTAAGGACAGATGTTCAAACAGCTAACACACAGCTTACATTTCTCCTCACTCATCCCACAGATATGGGACATCATCAACAGTGCATCCAACCTTAAAACCTCTACGTGGGAGGGCCTCCCTAACCTTAAAGTCTACGGCCCCACAGAAGGACATGTTTACACTGATACATTCTTCCCTGTTCATATGATTTACAGAATCTCTTTCCCCATTTTTGAAAACGCACATATTTTCAAAATATCTGTTCATTCCACTGATCCATATAAAAATATCTATGTGAGCTTCCTTTCCACAGAAAACTGTTACCAAAAAAGGACATTAGCCCTGGCCAGCTGGATTAGCTCATTGGAGCATCATCTAGTGCACCAAAAGGCTGCAGGTTCAATCCCCAGTCAGGGCACATACCTAGGTGGTGGGTTCAATCCCGAGTCGGGGCACATAAGGGAAGCAACTGATTGATGTTTCTCTCTCTTTCTCCCCCACCATCTCTTTCTAAAATCAATAAACATATTCTCTGGTGAGGATTAAAAAAAGAGGAAATTACATGCCAGATGTTGGATGTTAAGAATACAGGCACACAATAATAGTTCATGAGTATTTACTGTATATCAGACTCTGCATAAAGAATACAATGCTGGGCTCATCCCCTATTTATTTTCAGTCTTTTAGATGAATCCATACTATACTCCAGATAGTCCTGCATCTACTGCTCCCCTCCTAGCGTCCTCCACCAACTGGTGTTCTTCTCCCCCCGCACACACACATCCTCAGTTCCATCTTGTGCTGCACTTCACCTTGGAGACCATGTTTCTTCCCAGTCTGGTCATCCCTTCAGCTACAGTGATGAGCTCATCAATAGCAGGGACCTTGTGCATTATCCTCTCAATTGACATTTCCAACCGATTGTCTAGCAGTGCTTCTCATAGCTAAAAGGATCATTTATTAGCATCAGACTCAGCCACCCAAGTCCAGCATTCATCCTCCCACCCAAGACTTGCCAGATCTCCACAAAGTATTTTTAAATGTTTTTCTCTATTGTTTTATGGAATATTGCATATGTATTATATCATTTAACACACAACTGCCTTGAAATCACAATTCTATATATATATCTATAACCTCTATTAGATAACTGGTAGAGAAGGATGTATGTAAAGCGAGAGAAGCTGCTTAGGTTTAAAGTTTTTCTTCATTGATCCAGTTTAACTTCACATAGTCTTGGGTTCTTTATCTGTAAAATGGAAATAAGATGCCCACTTATAGGGGAGTTGTGAAGACAACGTGGAAAGCAGCTTGTATGCAGAAGGAGCTGGAAAAGTGGAAGCCGCAGGAGCAGGATGTATGTTTGGTCTGAGTCTTCCAGGGCAGAAATGTTACCTCCGGAGCACTCGGCCAGGACTTCCTCCCATTATTACCGACTAACATCTCTATGGCTCTTTTCTAGGGGTACAACAGTTGCATGACTGAAAAACTGAAATGCAATTATTTACTACCAAAGCAACTTTTACAGGATGCTTTTAGAATAAGAAAACTATTGGAAGTCCATGTCCAAATCTTGGGTTTTTTTAAATGATACCTCTTTAGATCCACAAAAGAAACAATGTAAAATAACACTCCTTTCTGACTACTAGGTATGCTTCAGAGAAATCTCTTGACCTCTCTACAGCTTTAGCAGAAATATGAGGAAGTGGCAGCTACTTAACAGGTATTTGTTTCATTACAGATTATAAGGAGTAAACAGAATTTTCTCTGCCAGGGTCCTGGAATGAACGTCCCTTTGAGTTCCCATTTATGTTTTTGTTCTTTTGGAATGCTGCAGTATTCTGTGGTGGCTTTTAACCACCTAAACGATTAACAAGAATTTTTCACTGAAAGGTTCAGGATGCTCCTTTTTTCTGATCAACTTTTTATTCCATATCTCCCTTCAATGGACTCCTTTTATACTTTTTAGTCCTATGCCCAGAACAAAAATTAAGCCAGAAACATAAGAGGTTTTAAACTGTAAGTGCATCTGTTTCGCCACATTCAAAACTGCCTGCTTTGGAGCACTTCGTGCTCTTTTACTTTCTCTGAAGTGTAAGCTGGAGGACCCAGGAACCCTCCAAGAACAAACTTGGACCTGTTTAGTGAAGAAAGAGGTGAATCTCTTTTTTTTACAGATTTCAATATCAAAATCTGAAAACCCTTAATCACTCTTAAAATGATGGATGCATTTGTTCACGTCCATATTTTATTAGAAAAAACAGTTTAGAAACAAATGAAACCTCAGTAGTTATAGACTGCAAACTGGCAGGCCACATGTGGCCCAGATACACTTCTAATGGGGTCCTTTCAGTTTTTAAAATTAAGGACATTGTCACCCTAAAAATTCTGGAAACTTCGGGTTTTTTTCCTGAACACGAATTTTTAGAATTGTGGCAACAATCAGTTATAGTAGGAGTTGCCCCCTTTACAGTGGTTTTCACTTTCTAGAAGCCACAATCCACATGTCCCTCTCTCCCACAGGTCTCCCTCCAGGATGCTCCACTCCACCCTCTCACCTGTCAGACCTGTGCACACACTGGAAATGCACATACAGATATTTTTAAAGGCAAAGAGCTGGGATCTAAAAAGGGCTTCCCCTTTACTAGCCCTGTGGCCTTCAGCAAACTATGAGTTTCAGGTCCCTCAGCTTTTTAAACAAACATAATTCCTTGACCTCACAAAGTCGTTTTGGGGTTAAAAAGGGAATACACAAAAAGTACTTTGTAAACTGTAATGTAAAATGTTTGCCACTATTCACTTCCCAGTTCCCTTTCAGTTGCATAAATCTCCTGCACCTACCGCAGTTGTAATTGGCTTTCTTAATCCTCATATTACACTCTGTATGACACAGTTTATAAGTCTCAATAGAAAGAATTTCATATACTTCCTAGTGTTATTTAGTAAAAGGTAGAAAAGAAACAAATATCAAAGGAAAACAAAATGAATTGTTGAATGCCACTGGATCTTTACTAGGTCATTTCTGTTTGTGATAAAGGTATAAAATTAGTGCAAAGTGTAATTACCAAATTGCTGACCCTTTCGAATGCTGTGCCTCACCCACTGGGCACCTGAGGTTTCAAGGTAAAACTGACAGCCCAGTGATTAGGGGATCCTGTGAGATTAGAGCACTGGCCTCCTCCTTAGGCCTCACTCGGTGCTCCGGAAGAGGACCCAATCCATCAGAAAATAACCAACAGGACCTATGAAGCTTTCTCTGCGCATCCTTCCCTCTACGTTTTAACATGGGCTCCAAAAACTTAGAATCTGGAGTATTCAGCCATGGTACACATTTTATATCTTTATCTATCTACATATAGATATATGTCAAAAAATCAGTAAGAGACTTGAAAGAAAAATAATCTCAGAAATGGGAAGAGCTGCAGAGCGCTGCACTAAAATAATAATGCAGTGGATATAGAAATGTTAGCCAAGATGTATGTTATGACTGCTATCTCCTTACATTAGAAATGTCACATATGTATTCCTATTCTGGTCAGTTTACAACAGAGGATCACCCTTGTGTGGGGAGCCACGATTGATTCATCTTCTGCTTTCAATGTTAAGATAATCACACCTGAATGAACTGCAAAATATAATGTGGACACAGAGAGAAAGAAAGGATTTTAATTGGAATCATCTTTTCTTTATAAGGTCACCAAAATGGAAGTAATTTATGATTCAAGACACATCGGTTAAAAACTAATTCATCTGACCAATCTTTTTAAAACCATATTGTGCAGTTACCGCTTTTCTTGAAGTTGAATGAAATCGTCACCTGAATACAGATTAACGAATGCCCAATTACCACATGGTCCTCCGTGTATTTTTTTTTCATTTAAAAAACTCAAAATAAATAACAGCATCATTGAAGAAACCAGTTCTTTCAATAGATGTCCCAAGGCTGATGTTTAAGCAAGTCTCCTTGGCAACCAAGAAGCACAGTATATCTTGGGCTGAGGGAAGGGGAGAAGGGGGGTAGCAACTTCAGGCTTAGGTAGAATAAGTAATAAGGAGTAGTACTTGCTCCAGCTAGACGAAGCTAGAAGACACTGCATGCCCCCGAAATTTCAATCAACTTGGTCTCACCCCACTGGCGCACCTGCATCTTCTCACCATCTCCCTCTGGTCTGCAGGCACCGATCCCGAACAGGTTACAAGGAGAGAAACTGACTTACCCGATGGGGCGAGTGTTCTGCTGGGTTATGTACCCGAAGCGGCAACGTAAGCACCGGGCTTTCCCAGATACACAATGGCTCAGCTTCGCCCCACAATGATGAGGTTAAGAGAAACCGCAGTGGCTTTGCTCTGCCTGTTTGGGGATGCAGTTGTGAAGAAGAAGCGGGTAGCGCGGGTGTGTGTGTGTGTGTGTGTGTGTGTGTGTGTGTGTGTGTACTTGCGCGCCCCCGGGCAGCGCGGGTCTGTGTGTGTGTGTGTGTGTGTGTGTGTACTTGCGCGCTCCCGGCGCGGGTGTGTGTGTGTGTGTGTGTGTGTGTGTGTGTGTGTGTACTTGCGCGCTCCCGGACGCTCCCGCGGGGGAAATGGTGTTTGCTAGTAAAGAAACTGCAGCAGCCAGCTCTGCAGGTGGTGCGTCCTGCGCCCTCTGGCCACCCCCACCGCAGCCGTGTCAGTTTAAAGACGCACCTCCGCGGACCTCGGGGCGGGCTTACACCGCCAAGAGGCTCCGCCCCCTCCCGCCTGGGGCGCGTTAGCACGCACGCCCCCACGCCCTCCTCCCGCGAGCCCGCGTGCACGCTCTCTTCTCCTACCCCGCCCCCGGGGAGGCGCGCACGCGGCGCCTCACACCCCCATCCCCGCCGCCGGCGGCAAGCCGCGGTGCGCGCTCGCTCTCCCGGAAGTCCCTTTCTTCCGCCCACTCCACATCTGGTTCTCAGGCACCTGCCCTGGGGGACGCTAAATCTAATTGTACAGCTTCAGCTGAGGCCCCTCTGGCGACCACCGAGACCCAGGAAACCACCCTTCCTGCTCCCACACTTCCTTCTCAGGCTAGGCAAGCAGCCCATGGGAACGGACATCAGGACCCCAACTGGATGTGCCTGGGAGCCCTGGCCATGATTCCCTCTCCCTTGGCCCAAATGACTTGTAAACTTCAAGATGCGCCTATTCCTACTGGCCGCTTTGCAGGAGCTACATATTGGCCCTCCATAGGACAGTAAACTTTATGGCACTTTGAGAACGGCATCACGGTAACTTTAAAAAATGATAGGGGATCCAAAGGGATGGATGGAAACCCTGAGACTGAGGAAAGCGGAAGGACGCGTGGTTACAGCTAGTTCAGCAGCAGAACTGCAAGCACACACCAACTCTAGAGCACCGCTGTGAACTTCCAGGGTCTGGGTCACTCCTGGGCCACTTGCGAGTCTTTTATATCATTCTTGTGTAAAATGACCTCAGAAACACATGCTTAAACAAAGTGGATCGTTTTATTTTTATTTTTAATTTAGTCTTTATCGTATTTTTCCCATTGCCCTTAGTGCCCGTATATCCTCTCCCCGGCTAATCACCACACCATTGTCCAAGTCCATGAGTCCTTTTTCCTTTTTGCTCAATCCCTCCATTCCTAACCTCCCCACCACCCCATACTAGCTGTCATTCTGCTCTCCATCTATGAGTCTGTCCCCATTTTCTTTGTTAGTTCAGTTTGTTCATTAAATTCCACATATGCGTGAAATCATATGGTATTTGTCTTCCTCTGACTTATTTCTCTTAGCATAATGTTCTCCAGGTCCATCCACCCTGTCACAAAGGTTAAAATTTTTGGTTTTTTTATAGCCAATTAATGTTCCATTGTGTAAATGTCTCAATTGTTTTATCTACTTGTTTTAATAGGTGAAAATAAACCATATTCCACTTTTGAGTTAAAAACTTGGTCCTACATGGAGTTAAGCCACCAGGTAGATGGAAAGTCTAAATTAGAGTCAACTATATTTTGTGGAAGTTCAAGGTTTAAAATATTGCAAAGACAGAATTTCACAGAATGTTAAGTCCCATGTCTTGGAGGTTGGAATTCTTTCACACTTGGCTTAGAAACAGCACCCTCATCTATTCTGAGATGTCTTTAACATTCTAATTAGTCTCAAATCAATGGTTCAACAATTTTTCCACTTTCAGACCTACAGGCTTCTGAGGCTGTTTGTATTCCATCCTCACCCCTTGGGGCCTGTCTGGCTGGCTTCTAGGGCCTTATTGGCATGGTCTTGATACTTGGACTTGATGATTCTGGGGACCTACCTTCTTTGGCAGTCCTGATCACCCAGATAGGTTTCGGGGGGAGAATGACGCACAACTGACTACCAACATTGGGTGCAGTGTCATCTTTAGAATTTTTATTAAGAGAGTAGATATCCTCACTGGATGTTATGTGGTACCAGAAGACCAAATGTTAAAGCGTATTTGAGCCCAAAATACTGACAATGACCAGTATCAATAAAACATTCCTTTAAGATTCATAAAATATGTGTCACTAAGGTGACTGTCCTTAAAATTTGAAACCCATCTATATTGACTGGAATATTTATTTGTTTAGAATAAATAGAAGCTATTTGTTATTGAGTACAATTACATAGAAAGAGCAAAGATATAACCATATTTAAACAAAAATAATCTTAATTCCACCAACTCACCATCTGTGTGACTGTAGAATGGTCTCTTACTGCCCGAGCTGTCTGTTTGCTCATTATTGTTTTCCACCTATGTGTTGGAACAACATCTGTCACATATTAGAGACGCAAGAAACATTGCTGAACAACACATTGACACTGAAGAATAAATAAGAAAGTGTATGTTAAATGTCTAGTAAAATGTCTAGGTCAGAGAGGGAAATTTTTTCCTAAGTGACATCACAAGATTGATTTATAGTTTTCCTAACTGAAAAAAAAAACTTTGCTTCTCTAATGTATGTGACTCCATAGTTTCTTAACTAGGCAACAAACTCAACACAAAGTGTGGTACCTGATATACCCTGTTGCTAGAGGAGTGAATCGATTATAGGCACTCTCTCTCAAGTACCATTATATATGGTCTTTCCTTATTAAGGAAATAGCTTAAAATAATGCTCCCTGAAAGCTGTGCTTTGTAATACTAGTCATTCACTCAACAAAAATATTTCTGAGCCTTTAGAATGTGTTTGGTAGTATTATTGGTATGGGGCTTTCTGTTGTCAATAAATAGATATTGTCATAAATTGAATAGACATTTGATTGTGCTACTGACAGATAAGCTAAAGAAGAAAAAAACTGTGGGTCTTTTGGTTGAAAAACAGAAAACTCCACCCAATTTAAGCAAACAGGCCTCTGATGGAAGAATAACAGGAGCTCTGAGCACTGATGGGCAGCCTAGACAACCAGTCTAGGAAGCTGGCAGGAGTTAGAGCAACTCCAGAGAGCATAGCAGCAGTCACAGCAGGATCACGGAGAGACAGAAATGCCATGACTGGATGTCTCCCAGGCTGGAATGGGTGGGCCCCAACCTATTGCTGTCCGGTAGTCCCTTAGCCGGGGTAGTAGGACCTCTGATCAGAGCCTCTCCAGACTTAAGAAAGAAAAGTGGATCCTGAATGGCTGGAAAACAATGCACTTTCACTGTAAGAAATCAGCTACTGGTGTCAAAGAACTGGGGAAACACTGAGAACTGGCTCCTGCTCCCATTGTTGTATTAAAGGCACTGAGGTCTTACAGTAGAGAAACCACTTTCCCTTTCTTAAACAACTATCCTGGAGTTTGGCTGAACATGGCGCACTTTTTTTCAGCTTACCTCCTAAAACAACTTGAGAAGCATTTGAAACATGCTAGTATCTGCAGCATTTTTTTCCCATCTGTCATCAGCGTGTCCATGGATGGAGATGTGAAAGCATAGCATAAATCCAGTGTTATCAAAGCTTTTACAAAATTTGCATTTTTAACAGCTCTATGACAGAGTCGAAGTTGTCTCAAAATAGATTGGATTTTAATCTAAAACTACAATATAAAAGAGAGCTGTATCATAGATTCTTCCTCAACACCAGAATAAACACCTATCATAGCTGCCTTGTCCCATAGCAATTGAGAAGTTGTCATTCTTAATGCTGGTGTCATGGCTTTCTGTCACAAACCAGTAGTGACATTAAGGAGTCACTGAGCAGCTTTCTAATTACTGTACTTCCAGAGAGAACAGATCATCATTAATTGTGCCAAAATGAAAGTCACATTTGGCTGATAATCTCCAAATTTCAAGTGCAAAATACAAAATAACTCTAGCTAACACCTCAGTTTATTCAGTTACCTGAAGGTACATTTTGTAGCTAATTCATCTTGTTCATCAGGAGCCACTGCCACTTAAAACTAGGTATGCCATGGGAAAATCTTTCACTGTTAACATTTTTTATGTATTTATCTTTAGAGGAGAAGGGAAGGAGAGAGGGAGAGAAACATCAATGTATGGTTGCCTCTCGTATGTTCCCCCCCACTGGGAACTGGCCTGCAACCCAGGCATGTGCCCTGACTGGGAATTGAACCATGGTTCTTTGGTTCACAGCTCCGCACTCAATCCACTGAGCTACACCAGCTAGGGCCACTGTTAACATTTTTGATGTTTTTATTTTCCCTCTTATTCTCTGGTACCAAATACTGTTGTTATTTATGTTGTTTTCAGTCTAATTCAGTCTAATCAACTAGATGTAATGGCTGCTTAGTAAATATTTACAGAATAGAAACTAGTCCCTACCCTCAAGACAGAATATTTTAATTGTACTACTAAATAGGTACAAGCAAAATACAGAAGAAAGTCTCAGTTATTATGAGGTAAGACAAATTTTAAAACAAATTATATTTTTTCGTGTATCAAATTAGCAAAGATATAAAAAGATGATAATACCTAGTGTTAGAGAGAATATGGATAAATAAGTTATGAGATTCAAGTGGATACAAACATTGTAGATGCCAACTTGTCAGTATTTACATTTGTTTTTGTTTAAACATGTGTGTTTTTGGTACAGAAATTCAATGTCTAAGAATGTATTCTAGGTTTACTTCAAACAAAAGTACAAAACAGTGATATCCAAGAGAAAGAGAAGGAGAGGGAGAGGATAAGGGGAGGAGGATGGGGAGGGAAAGCATCTAGGAAACTGGATGCATCCTTTGGGGACCAATCAAATTATTAGGATACTAAGTGACCATTTTTAAAAAAGTCAATCTTTACACAGTGGTAGCAAAGATATATCACTAAGTGGAAAATAAGCAAGTTGAAGATCAATATGTATAATATAAAAGAGTTCGTAAAAGTATAGGAAGAAAGGAAGGAAAAGAGGGAGTTGTGTGTGTAATAGTGTGTTTTTCCATTTTCCTGTCTCAGAAGGAAGGTGGTGAATCTCAAGAGACTTCATTCAGTCCCACACACACAGAGATACTTGGACCTTCTCTGTACCACCAATAACCCTCAGAGCCAGAAGGTTGGCAAGTGCCTTAGGCCACCAACAGGGTCAGGATAGGTCCCTCTGGGGATACAGACAGGGTCCTCTCTAGCTGAATGTGACACCAACAGAGAGGAAAACTAATATCCTGTCTAGCACAGGGGACAGTTGTATTAGGCTCAGTTGAGAAGACTGGGTGACAGGCAGTGCTCACAGTGGTGAAGGATGGTGTCTCCAGATGCCAGCTCTGCTC